ATTTTTAACAATTAATAACCATTTAATATGTCAACATCTAGAACATTATTTGATTTCAAGTGTTATTAAGGTATGTGTATACTTACATCAACAACAAAATTTATACATGACAAAACAAATTTACTCACTATTAAGCTCATATATATTAATATATATTGTATTAGGGGACATACATGAACTAGCACATATCTATTCAAACTCAGACATCTAAAGTTGTTTGAAAATTAAAATTGTTGAGACAAGTTGGATTTGCTTCCTTTAATAAATGTGGTGAAACTATTAATGTGGAATCAAGAGGTTTACTTGTCGTATTTAAATTTGATATATTCATTAAAAAACACAATAATTGACATGAATGTCGAATATCCTTATTAATTGATATTTGATATTAGATCTTGAAAAATAACTTGAAAAATAAATTATTAATATTAAAGATAAAACATGAAAAATAATATTTATCTTTTCTTAATATGTAAGTAATAAGTAAACATAAAAATCAAATAATTAAAACAGTGAGCTAGTAAAATTGAAAGAAATATTATTTTATTTTAATTATATCCTTATCATCAATTACTAGTTGTCAGACTTTGATTTTCCTAGCATAATTAATAAAGTTAATTTATTACAATTAATTCTTCATAAATACTACTTTTGTTCCTAAAATTGATGTGTTTAGTTTGGTCATACTCCGTAAGAGAAACTATTCATTCCTAAGAAACAAACAATGTTCTTATTTTCCTTAATGAATATTTTGAAAAGATGTAATTTTTTAATACTCTCTTTATTGTATTGTAAGTGAATTTATGAGGCAATGTATATTTATTTAGAAAAAAAATTATGATATAATACAAAATAAATTGTCATTAAAGTTATTGTTAAAATATTCTTAAAAAAATTCAAAGTAAAATCATAAATGTGAGCAATTAACTCTCTTATACTTATCATCTAAAATATAAATGAATGGCACAAATATAGAAAAGTTCAAATATATGTCTTGAACTTTGAATAATTTATTTATTTTTGGACTATGAAAAAAGCCAAAAAAATAAAACTCTCTAATTTAAAATAGGATAAAATTGAAAAAAAAAACATTAATATCTAAACATCACTTATTTAGAAACAAAATTTAAAAAAAAACATCTATTAGTTAAAAAATAAAAAAGTACTATTTCAGTATTTCTCACATACTTGATAAACGTGTTAGTCAAGCCAATATTAAAATATTCCCCGTACAAATTTTTCGCGAGAGCTAAATTAATATTATTGTTGGTGGATTCGGTTGAGTTCAGTAGCATTGACTTAATAACTTTTGTATTTGGATTTTAAAAAAGTTACTTAATATGTATAAATACATTATATAGAATCATAATGAATTAATTTTCGCAAAAATTTAAAATTCATACGCTCAAAATTAATCTTAATTAACTTTAATAGTAGGATTGACTTTCAATTGGACGTATCCTTTCACGATTAATCACCAACATATTTTAACACACTTTCACAAAAGGAGAAAATCATTTCGAATCATCATCATGGGTCGTTCATGTAGACTAATCCAGACTCATATAAAAGAGATAGAAACAATAGACATGAGTTTTATTTGAATTGATGAAAATCATAAATACAATAGACTTATTGTAATTATGAAATTGTGACAAATATTAGTACACCTTATGTAAAGACCTTAAGAGAGTGATTTACACTTGAGAAACCACCATCAACTTTAAGATCATGCCCACTTATGTAACTTGCTTCATCGCTGGCTAAGAACAACACAGCCTTAGCAACATCCTGAGCCATCAAATCCACGCCCTTGAGGTTCGCGAACTTACCAAAATGAGAGTTAAAATCCGCGATAGCATCATCAGTCCTTTGTTCAGGAGGCAAGTGCAGCAGCCCTAATTCAGTTGCAACCGCGTAGGGTGAAACACAGTTCACACGTACACCGTGTTTCCCCATCTCAGCTGCAACGTTTTGCGTTAGTCCCAAAAGAGCAAACTTAGAAGCTGTATAAGCATGAGGCCCTAGGCCACCAATAGACCCTGCTACACTACACAACGACACGATGGATCCTCTTTTTCGTGGAATCATTATACGAGCAGCATGTTTCATTCCTAGGAAAACACCTCTAACGTTCACATCAAGCACATTATCAAAGACAGAGAGATCATAATCGAGAATATTTGAACAGGGCGCCCCTGTTAATCCAGCATTGTTAACTATTATATCAAGCGTGCCAAATCTCTCTACAGCAAAATCAACAGCATTACTAACATCAGTTTCTGAAGTAACATCACAATGGATGAAACACGCGCTATCTTCATCACCAAGGGATTCACAAACGCGTTTTCCAAATGCATCCTGAATATCAACAATGCATACTTTCGCGCCATGTTTGTGAAACAAACGTACAATGCTCTCTCCTATACCACTTGCACCTCCAGTAACTAACGCAACTCTTCCCAATAGCCTGTGATGAAATTCGAGTCTCAACTATCAGTAAAATTTCATCATCACGTGTTCAAGTGCTCAATCAGAAATCAGAATGATGTTTTGATTGTCGATGTATTCTGCCTACATTATATCTATGATGTTGAATTCAGATTTCGATTAACTTGATCTCTTGAGTTTAACTAATATACACGGATGAAAATTTTATAATAACTACACTTTACAAGCAATTGCCATTAAAATTGAGATCAACAAATATAAATTAAATAAGAAAAATCATTTGTTACAGCAAAGTTAAAATACACTGTGATTAAAAAATCTTTTTACATTGTGTTAATGTACAATTAAACTTTTATATTGTAGGAGTAGTAGATAATTGGTTGAATTTATTGATGTAAACGATAATGTGCGGACACACGTCATTTATTTTAGACCTAAGTTTTTTCATCTAGTGTCCGATATTTATATCAGAGCCCTATTTCAAATTCGCTAGCATATGCTTCATTTGGTGAGCACTCTCCACCAAGGATTTTTCTATACGACCCGAGAAATCGAAGCCTCTGATTAAGAAAGAAAGAAACTTCGGCACAACCACATCCAAAAAAATATATATATATTTAAAATGAAAAAGAAGAGTTATCCAGAAGAGAAAAAAGAAATTCTCAAATTCCACTACAAAATGTAACAATGGCTCCTAAGTTTTGCAATATATCGATCAAACTTACTTCTCCAAACTAATTTTTATCAAGAGAATGCATTTAAATTTACTAATTAACCAACCTAATACTCAATATATAACAATTAAACCAAATTCAAAAGAAAAGACATCAACCATTCTGATTTGAAATTAAAAAAGAGGTTGCATTTTATAAAACCAACCTAATATTGAATAGCTATCTACATATAACAAATGAACCATAACATTAGTAAGAATAATAACATATTAGTATATTATCGAAGAAAATATAGTATATGCAGATCTTACCCTATCTTTAAGAAATAAAAAGTTTTTGATAATTCGTTCGCTCAAGAAAAATAATCGAAATTAAGAAAAAAGAAGTAAATGCATCAACTAACGATGTACTATAGTAATGTTAAGAATTTTGAAGTAGAACCTTTGATTGGAAAGAGAACTGTCAGAGCTTCCTTTCACTTCCATGGCAGCAAAAAGTTTTCTTTTTTCTTTCTAATAACAAGATAAGATGTGATCAAGAATGAAAAAAAAACAGATATTTTACTAGTTAGGGATTTTATAATATGGAAAATACCGACTTATATTATTGGTGCTTTACGATGCTACAATAAATTAGTGGCTATTGCAAGTTGGTGATGGAAATTGGAATAGACCATGTGCAAGCTATTTTCCCCAACAGAAATCATGGAAAAAAGATTTTTTTTAAAAATTTAATGTTTCAATTATTGTTTTTAGTAAATCGATGGAAGGCTTCCATATTGGAAGGGATCTAATTCGAAGAAGGAAGTCATTTGTGGACTAATTTCGACCATTTACCAGAACAGGAGATTCACGGTATGGCTTCAGAAGAGGTATTGGGGTGTCAAGAATGAATTCCAAACATGGATAATTTGTCTTTATTTGCAGAAAACTCGTGTGCTTGAGAGTTCCTGATGATTAAATAAAACAAGATTTAATTCGCTTAGTATTTTAAGGGTTGGGTTCAATCTCAACTCATTAACATCTAACCCGTTTAGGGAAATTCTCAATTGAGCACAATTCAAGTTCCTATATTAAATCTATGAATTATCATCTATTTAACATCTTTTATGATTTATCTATCAATTTGTTACTTTTTAAAAAAAAAAATCTTGAACCGAAATTCGCATTGTGATCTAAAAGTTAAATATCATTTTGTTAAAATTATTGAGATTAATCAAGTCAAATTTAGCGGATCAAGACCCAACCATTTTTAGCCCATTTGAGTCCAACGTAAATTTAGGCAGGTCAAGACTCAAACCAATTTTAATATCTCCAATTTCAATCCTACCCGCTTATTTGACACTCTTAAGATCGACCATATTTGGATTATGAGTTACACACTCTAAATTCATTTTTTAGAACACTTTTTAACCTGATTTTCTTTATTCCTAGGCTCATGAAAAAACATCAATCATCTCACCCCACTCTAAAAATAAATTTAAAACTAAAATTAGGAAAAATGAGAGGTTTGCTCGATAACAAAATAAACACGGGAGGAGGGGCTTAAGGCTTAAGCCTCGTGACAATTTAATTTGAAGTATTTTCGGACATTCCAATTTCTTGTGTTTTTCAGTACTTGCCTATGATGTACACCAATGATTGATAAAAATCATGGCTCCGCCACTGCTTGATAATGTATGTCATTGCTCATGAAAGATTAGGCAGCCCGCTTTTACAGCTAATATACATGAATATACAAGTTCTAGCAAGCTTCAGTGCTTAAACATTTACTGCATACATCTATAATACTATATGAAGATACACAAGCTTCCTACTAATTTGATTCATCCTGTCTGGGAGGAAAAGAAGACGAGAAATATTTAAACAAAGAAGATATCGTAAAAAGGATGAAATATGTAATTATGAAAACAATGGACAAGCAGACCCCAGAGAAACAAAAATGTCATCCAAGAATTTGAATATAGACAATAGATTAGTCACAGCCAAAACCAGAAAAGCCCATGATAAATGTGGCCACACTACCTAATACAGCCTCAAATTTCAATTGCCCCGAATGATAGTTGAGCAAGGCATGTCACAAAACCAACTTCCCCCGTAAGCAGCACCTTGATTGTCGCCTTCCTAAACCTTCTAGAAGGAGCTAAAATTACATTATCTTGCAAGAACATGTTCTTTCATTCCCACTCTCAAACTCATCATCTGATTCACCATCATCGCTGCAATCACAAGTACATGAAAGTAAGTAAAAAAGACTTGCATGCTTGGAACAACGAAACAATAAGTATAAAGGGTCACTTGACTCATGTAAAATGTATAATGCAAAGCTGGCAACCTAAATAAAGGTAATCAAGTGACTTTTCACCAGACAAGGGATCACCATATAACACACAATATTCCAGGGAAAATTACACAGGCATGCTTGTACAAAGATGTACAAGTGTTTGATATGAAAATTACAGGCCTCAGACCAAAGTTTCTACTCTTTATGAATTTGTAGGTACAAAGAACTCATTGAATATGTGCAAATTCAGATGATACCCATATTTATAAGCTAATATTCTATTTAGCTTTACCTTGTCTTGAAAATTTATAAACTAATTTTCTCTTTAGCTTTACCTTGTCTTGAAAATTTGCAAGCAATTGTACTAGTCAAAAGAAGAAGAAAAAGTTGAAATCAGTTCAGACGTCCTAAAGAGCTTCACAATGCTAGGGGAGAATCAAACAATATTCTAATTCACAAAATATTTGTGTCAAACTGATAAATATGCTGCCCCTAATATGTTTGGGCAATTTACACACCACTTTTGACTTTTGACATGTAATTGAAACACCAAGAGCCAAGCCCGTTGGAGTTGTTTTCACACTGCATATTTGAGGGCATCACTCATCAGCATAGCTCATAATGCAACAAAAACACCAGATAGTTAACCCAAAACTGTGAGGATAAAGAGGAAAAGTAGTCTTCACCCCCAACCAAAGAAGATATAAAATACCAAAAAATCTGACAAACCCAGACACACTTAAGTCTGGAGATACTATATAATATATAGTTATACAAATGAATATCTCTGATCTTATGCTTCAAATGAAGCAACCAGCTTGAAACTCCTTTTCTAACCACCTCACCTTCTGTTGAATATATCCAACTTTTTGACTGTTCCAACTGAAAACTACATGTTTTTCTCTTTCAGTATCTCCCCTTAATCTCAGGTTTTTCTCGTAGTTGATGACTAGATACAATTTTTATTTCTCTAGCCAAAATCTCTTCTGTTCCATCCCTAGCTTTCGGAGGAATTTGAGTGTGTATGGAAATAACAGAAAACAAGTCGCTATCATGAAGATGAAGGATCTGTTTTTCTTCTCCAGAAAGTTTATCGCATGTGTAAATCTTAGATGACTAAAGGCAGCTTCATAATTCAATCAATCAACAACACCTCAATCTCAAATGAGGAACTCCCAACTAATAATAAATCACAAAATAAAATACTTGCAAAAGAAAAAAAAATGATTCAGGTGCTATCTAAGCATAGATATGGTTACACCCTAAGGAAACATTGTTTTTCAGATGGAACACTCCTGAGACTTTTAAGATACTAGCTTGAAAAGATGCAATAATCACAATGAGCAAAGGATATGGAAATTGCAGAAAAGCAATTTCGAGTTGCTATACTGCAAATACGGCATCTAGATATTTAAGGGCATATACTCTGCATGTTCACATAATTATTATCTCTAGCACCACGTGTTTCTACCACAAACTGTTACCAGAAATTTTAAGCATGGAAATAGATAATGTAAGGACAAGAAGAAGACTTCTGGAAAATGATAAGCAGTTAGCAGCATATGGGCTATTATTACTTCATAAAGCTACAGATGGAAGGACCTACAACAGTCTTATCAAATGTATCTTGTGCCTTGAAACTGTGCTTCACAAGAACAATACAAAGACATGTTGCCACCTGCGGAAGATGCCAGAGACATGAACGAAAACATTTGGTTCTACGATCAAAATACATCCTATCAGTCAAGGCACAGAACATTAAGCTGAAAAACCATGGAACTAAGCATGCAAGACTTAATCAAGACATTTCGAGAATTTTTTAACGGAGCTATTTGTTTCAGGATATGACTAAATCCCCATCTTACATGAATAGTCTAGTTCTTTGAACAGGCACAACAATATTATTTTGAACAGAAATCACTAAAACCATTTAAGTTGGATGTAATTGTTACCTGGCAAAAAAGTTAACAATGCCTAGAATGCGGAACAGCAAGAAACAAACACCAGATTAAAGATGATGAATAGAGTTCATACCTAGGCTCAAATTCCCGTATCTCAAAAAGTTCTCCTCCGGTTGTGTCGGTCCACTGCACTTTCCTTTTCTCCACAGGATTGGGGGCATCATCAACCTTTTCAGATATTGTATCACGTTCATTACCACCAGAAATGGAAACACTATTTACTGGTTTTTTTAGGCTACTCTTAAGAGCAAGCTTTGGTGAAATATAACTGTCCTCAACAATATTAACACATTGCGGCTGATCGCTGCCCTTGTCTGAAGCGGGACAGCTGGGCAACACTTCTGGCTGTTGGGTAGGACCAACTTTAAGGGGAGATGGGCTCTCAGGTCCAGCGGCAGCGCGACCAAAGCATACAAAGGAGCCGCACCCGCGGACAAGCCTGTTCTTCCCGGAAGCCAGCTGGAGATCAGAATCAGTTTCTTGGTCCACCAACTGGTACTGGTTCCACGGTGCAACTCTCATGGGCTTCTCTTCGTTCTTCTGACCCAAGAGTAGAAGGGTCAGACCCTTACTATATCCAGAAGCTGAAGACGAGAAGAAACCTCCTCCTTCTACTGCAAATAACATCAGTTCTGCTCATCTGGTCGACATGCAAATGCTTTTGTCTAGAGCTAGTTTGACCTTTAGGGGGGAACTTCAAGCACCTGGCTCACGTTGCCAATAACTGCTTGTAAGACTAGCAGCATATGAAATATTACAAACATGGAAAAGAAAAGGAACAGAGAACACAATTATTTTATTACAAAAACTCATTTCTGTAACACATAAGGATCTAGTACTCCTTTTTCAGTTCATTTCACACTAGTTCCATTTTAACAATGACCCAAAATGTTTGACGTCATACCATTTCTATACAACTTCTATAGCCATCAAGAATTCACTTAGACCAAGAAATATATCCACAGCCAACCCTTAACAATTACAGACTTCGAAACTCAGAAAAAAGGGTACATCCTTCTCCACTTAAATACCAGTCTTAGATCACATGACGCAGAGCTCAAATGTGCAAACTAATAGCCTGTTTAGCCAAGCTTCTAAAATCGACTTATTTTGAAAAGAGTTAATTTAAAATGTGCTTTTAAAAAAAAAAATACTTTTGGTGAGAAGCATTTTGTTTTTGACCAATAAATTTAAAAAGCATACTTGAGCTGTTGAGCAACAATTAGTATTTGATGGAACTTTTTAAAAGTGCTTCTGAGTGTATTTTTCAAAAGAAGGGTTTTTGGGAAAACTACTTTTTAGCTAGCTTCTGAAAAATAGCTTGTGCTACTCCTCAGAAAACTTATTTTCTCCTGAAAGTTTGGCCAAACACCTTACTCATAAAAAAAAATACGCACTTTTGGAAAAAAACAAACGGGCTAAAATCATAAGTCCCTCCAACCTTTGCTATTTGAACTAAGCCCTGGGCAAGAATCATGTCCATACTATTTTATACTTTGAGGTGATATTTGACTTTTAAACTATCTTCTTTAACAATTACTTTAATATTTCTTCCAGATTCACTAATACAACACATGAATCGAATCAACTTCTTAAGCTCCCTATTCTCAAATACAGTCATGTAAAAGAAACAGGGGCAGTATTTTTACTGCCAAATCGCCAAAGAAAAAATATATGCACAATAGACAAAAGGCTCTAGAGACTAGAATGAGCCCGGTTGTACTGCTTTTTTTCTTTGACTGATTTCCTTAATTAATTATTCCAGCCCCTATTCCACGCAGTAAGAATGCAGAATACTAGATGACTGCCAAAAGGATTATAATTAACTATCTCAATCAAGTTAATTAATTTACAATTCTTCAATATATGCTACAGCACATGTCAATTCGAAGTCAAAATAGGCGGACTCTAAAGTCAACACTGCATTGAACACTACAGATCACTGGCAGAACACTCTAAAAAAGATCAACAATAATTAAAAAAGTAAAAGGATTAACAAAAACATGAAACTAAGCTCTGAACAAATGAAAACAGATTCAAACCGTCAATGAACCACCAATTTTGTACTTCAATATGAATTTTAAAAAAATCAAATAAAAATAAAAATACACCAGCTATGCTTTAACAAAAATCTTCAATGCAAAACAAATCTTATACAAAAACAAGTAACAATAAAAACTAGCGCTATAAACCTCTCAGTCTGTCAGTCACATAGTCAAAGATCTAAAAAAAAAAACTCCGAAATCAACACAGAGCAAAGCAAATTCAACATTTACACTAAGAAGTAAGAAATCAAGTAACCGAAATCCAAAACCGAATACAAAAATCGCTCTGCAGCAGCATAGGAAAAGGTAGAAATACTCACAGATCTGAGAGCGAATTCAAGGCAACGACAAGTTCACCGGACCGGCGAATGCATCGGCGATCACTAGTGATAGATTGTGTAAAACAGTACGGGGATAGGAGAACGTCGGAATCGTGTGGTTGAGCAGAAAATCGCCGAGAAAATGAAGAGCTGAAAGAAGAAGAAATGGATTTATGGGGATATATATATTGGGACTACTTTTTGTATTGAAGATTAGTGAATAGTACTGGATTTATATTAAGAAAATAAAATTGTACTATTACTATAGTATTTTAAGTAAAAAATAATTAATGGTAAATAAGAAAATAGAAAAAACAAATGGAGATTGGGGGATAGTGACTCTGTGGCGCATGATAGCGATGGGTCCCTTTTTGATTGCCTTCTATTTGTTTATTTTATTTTATTTCTTTTTGTTGACAAAGCAATTTGTGGCCACGCCATTATCTCGTTTTAATGTAATAGTCCCAAACTCCAAAAGTAAAATAAGAATAAAATTTGTATATATTTTATATTTTTTATTAAATTGTTATTGTTGTTGACAATTAAATAGATAAATAATATAAATTTCATTGGTTTAGAATTTAATTATTTTTTTTTAGTTTTTGCAAATTATTTTAAATATTTAAAGTCAAAATTAATTATAATTTATTTCAGATGCATCATATTTAAATTAATTCGCATGTATTTGAATACACTCGCTCTCATCGCTCCTCTCTTACTCGCCTATATTTCAGAATTTATTTTATATGATTTACTTTTCTATATCTACTGCTATGAAATTTATTTCCTTACAAACTAAAAAGTTATTTGGGAACTTTACCAATCAAAAAATTGGAAAACATTTTTTTTCCTCCTTAGTAAAAAATGAAATGAAATCTCATAATTTGGAATATAATTATTTCTCTCTATTAATTTTTTAATTATTTATTTTGAATTTTACGTGCCTCTCAAACGAGTATGATTGATATTTATTACAATATTTATATTAATTATACGTAGTATTTAGCTTTAGATCTTTAAAAATTATTTGATTAATACTAAAAATGTTTTTTTTATTAATATACTAAAATTGGCAAGTAAAATAAAAGGATATATTTTCTTTTTGAATGGAAGTGGACTTAAAAGAGCTTAATTAGAATATGAAATAAGTAGCGACATCTCCCATTAATGAGGAATTAATTTTCACATTGACCTAACTCCAAATTGAGACTGAACCTTCCCTTTGTTTCGATCAAATGTGGCATACCAAAAATTAAAAAAAAAATGGTGTGCACAAAATATACGACCAAAAATAATGGCATGCTTATTGATTGACCATGAAAAACAATCAAATAAACTTTATAATAAAGTCCAATTTATTAATGAAATTTCATGTTTGATTAGTTTAAGCTCCTATTTGGCTATTTAAAAAGTTGTGATTTTTAAAGTGATAATGAATAAGTACCCTTCATCATATGTCCGAAATTTCAGATACACACTTATACTATACTAAGGTCCTATTATTCTTGAACTTATTTTATTAATAATTTTGTACCTCTTTTTGGCTTACGTGGCATATCTTGTGGATCAAACGCTGGTTGATTTTTTTTTCAAGTTAGTGTCACGTAGGTCGAAAAGGAGTATAAAATTACTTATAAAATAAGTTCAGGAGGTAGAAGGACCTTAGTATTTAGTATAAGTGTGTCTCTGAAATTTCAAAAATATGTTGAAGGGTACTTATGCATTTTCCCATGTTTAAAATTTGAAGTAGAGTTTGTTTAAGTATTTTTTATTGAATAGGTAATTAAAAACTCAAGAGATTCTTACGAGTAATATTAATCTTGTTAATATATAAATCAATTAGTTAATTCAATTGTTGAAGATGCGCCCTAAATCGATTCAATCTTACTAATCTATTTTTTTTTCTTGGTCATAGTTTATTATTCATTTTAATTGTTTATAATCATTATAATTATAACTTTGGATTTCATTCTTATCTAGATAGTTAGGATAGTTAAATTTTGTTAATGATTAATACAAATCTCTATATATTCCGATAATATTTTAATCTTATCATTTTTTTAATTTGTTAAACTATATATATTTGTGTATGTGTGGAAGATATAGAATGTATTCAAAAACTATATATATACGATCTCAATTTATTTCAGTGATTTTTTTTTGGGTGGGGGGTTAAAGAAGATTAATTATTTGGAACGGAAACATAATATTAACTCATTAATCTACATTAACAATAATATCTCCTAAGTAACAACTTAAAATGTAATAAATGTATGTTACAATATAGTATGAACATGCAACTAAAACAGAAAATATACTTGTTGACTCTAAATATAAATTGTATTGGTATATAAGGAACTTCTAATTTCTTAAAAAATATTGCCTAAACTAAGTTATTTTAATACTTTGTTTTTTTTTTTAATTTTGTGACTTAAAACCATGGACTTTAAAAATTACTCTACTCTTCACTTTACTTGTCCATTATTTTAAAAATAAATTTTTATTTTACTCATCACTTTTAACATATTTTTTCTTACTTTATCCTCAAGATCAATTACTTATTCTTCAAATCATTTTTCAAGACCTAAGGCTATACATTTATTAATATGAATATTATGATAAAATATTTTATAGTAATAATTATTTCACAAGTGTTTTAGAAAAATTCACTTTCTTGTTTAATGTCCAGTATTTATATTAAAATTTGATTATTTTCGATTTACATAGCGTAAAATTTCATTCAAATTCAAAACTCTGAATTTATATATGCACCACATTGTTTTGGTGGTTGGTATTGCTGACTAGGGCACTAGGATATGTAGAAAGTAAGCTCAATGACAAGGACAAGAGAAGCTTAATGCTATAATGTGTGGAGTTGGGATGGTGTATATTATCTACTATTTCCTTTAGAATTTATTCATATGAACTTATAGAATTTAAAAAATATTTTAATTAGAAAAGTTGTGATTCATTATTAGAATATAGAAGACCCAATCATAATAAAAGGGGAAAATGAGTTCTAACTTTATGTACTTTTAAGTTACAAATGTATATTTTTTTTTTACATCATTATGTCAATGGAATCCCAACTAAAATTTTAATTTTACCAATTTAAAATATATGCTTTAGATCAGAATTATTAATCTTGTTAAATTCGTACTCAATATTTAATGGGTTTAAAATCAATAGTAAACTACGTATAATCTTATATATGAAATTTAAAAAGGATGGTGAAATTTACTATGATATATTCAAGAGCCATCGTAATAGTAACATCTAAATTTTGGATCGATTATCTTTTGAATTAAAATAACGATAAATTGAGTATTACGATTACAGGGGAGAAGCAAAGCTTCGTAGATAGCTTCGCTTTCTCCTCGCTTCTTTCCTGGCAACTAGCTTCTCAAGTGGGACAGTAATTTATACCACTAAAGAATGTAGTGCAATAGATGAAGTTATTTCTCTCTTAATCAAAGATTTTGATAACAAGCGCTGAATATAGAAAAATCCTTGATAGAGAGTGTTACCTCTCTAAATGGAGTCCTATTCGATGCGAATTCAAATTAATCAAATTCTAACATAAACATCGAATATGGAATGAAACCCGAAAAAGGAAAATAGTATCTTTTGCCTCTTCTTTTGTGGTTTTGCCTTTGTCAAAGTCAACATTATCTTTTACTTTTTCTCCTAATAAATATGAGAAAATCATCTATAGCATAAGTTATTCTAGTAGTCTAGTACTAAAGTACCAAACCTAATTATTAATTAAATATTACTAAAGCATTAAATCTAATTAATAATTATTCTAGTAGTCTTTGGTTGCCTTTGCTTCTTTTTTTTTCCTTTTTTTCCTTCTCAATTAAAGTCCTCTTTATTTTGGGCTATATATTATATTATTCATCAATTAAGAATATTTAAAGGTGTTCAAAATTTATACAAAGTAATAGTCTTATATATACAATATAATTTACTAATATTTACAATTAGATAACTATCTAAGTTACTATAAACGTGAAACAACAATTTAATATGATTTTTTTTTTTGCAAGTTTATTTTTTGTTGTTTGTTATTTGTGCCAATTCTAATGTGGTCTCATTGAATGTCTTAAAAAGACATTACATATCCTTAATTGCAGATTACATGCAGTACTCCAAGGGCTCTAACTTATAAAAAGATTTAATACACTTAACTTTACTATTATTAATTCACTAGGACATGCTTGTATCATTACATGCAGCCCAAAAGTGGTCAAGTAATTTATTTATCAAGTAGTAAAGTAATATAAAAGCATAATCAAAACACAAACATAATTTTATTCCAAAATTGCACTTTAATGAATAAAAGTAGTAACTACATAAAGTCTCAATTTAGAATTATTGTCCCTACCCTACTTGAGCCTAGAATAAGATTAAATACCAGAATACATAATATGAGGATTATAAACACGATAATTTTACATAAAGATCGTTAGGGGCACATATGTGAAGAGGAACGTATTATCACAGAGAAAAAAAATGAAAACATTAATTGTAAATTTGTTTCTACCTTCTTTGTCCTAACTTTATGTTAGGACAACCGTCAGCGATAAAATTAATGTAGAGCATATATGGTAACCCTAATGGATGTAGGGAGTACCAATTTAGAGATTATGATTTAATTTGATATGTTCATCAAGTAACCGATGTACAAACGAGATTTATTTTTTATTAAATATTATTTATGGTATTACTTGAATTACAAGTAAAAGTGGACATAAATAAGAAATAATTAATAATAAATAATAATAATTCTTACACCTACTGCCTACCTTCAAACAATAATTTTTTTTTAAAAAAAAATTACGAAACACGATATTCTAACATGTTTCTTAATCAAATCTAATCCCCCAAAATTATAACAAGAATTATAGTTTTAAAAAAAAAAAAACTTTGGATCCTAAAAAGCTTGTTGGCCCACCCCCATTATAAATCACATGTAAGACACTGGTGATTTCAGATAATTTTGTATTGTAGTATCTTTAGATTGGTTTTCTTTAGATATGTTTTATTGTAATCTGTGGATATAATTAGGGGAATTTTACCTAAAATATATAGTGTTAGGAGATAATTATATTTTTTTTATATTATAAAATATTTTTAAAATTGGTGAAATTTGAATAAATTTCAAAACTTCTTGATACATAGCATTTTAATTTGGGGTATATCAATCAATATTTTTATACATTATGTCTCG